CACACATATATATATATATGGTGTACCCACAAGAGTGGCGGAAACAATCGGTGACAGAGATTTGGGTATGTAGGTGGTTGGTGGGTGCTCCGGTGTGATTTGCTTCTTTTTTCCAATCAAACATCTCTTTTAACGAGCAAATGTATCTTTGTGACTTATGTAAAAATCCCTAGAATAAAAGAAAATCTATCTCTATCTTTTGAATGTTTAGAAATTTTACGACATATTCTGAGGATAAACCCCCTCCCTCCGATATAGTTTCTGAGTGTCGACTTGAACATTTCGAAAGAAAATGTTTGGCTAATTCTGAGGTCTTTCAATCTTTTATTGCAAAATAATTACATTCCTGTTATTATCTTGGCTTAATGTTTTTCGTTTGTTTGTTTTTTTCAATACTCCATTCAGATTTCTTGGCAAAGCTATTTATAGATATTTCTGCCCTAGAACCCCCGCTGTTCTAGAAGAATGGACGCCAACTGGGCATCACGGAAGCTGATTCTGGCAGCAGCGCTGTTCCTGTCCTCAAGTGCTTGTGTGCTGAACGTAACCACACCTGAGGTAGAAGTAGGACAAACTGCCAACGTGTCACTGGAATGTTTCAATCTGTATCCCATACCCGACGTTTCTGACATTCTCGTTATGAGAATACTCAAATGGGATCATGATGAGTGGAACAGCGTGGCAGAGATAAAGAGCGGCGATGATGCGGAAGTCAGACAAAAATCCAAAGATGTATTTGCTGAGGGGAAAATCGGATCTGTTGGTGAAAGCTTTTTGAGACTTACGTGGCCTGTGGCAACCAATAACACAGTCGGTCAATACCGATGTGACTTGGTCAGCTTCACTCTCCAAGAAAACGTTTTGTGGCTCAAAAGTCTGCCTGTTTTGGTCATGCGTAAAAGGGATCTCACTGTTCAGATGCTCAGCGAAATTGTGGAACAGAACCAGAATGCATGTTTTCAGCAACTGAGCTCACAGAAACAAGATATACTGGAAAACATAACGGCGACAGCGGAGGTTCTTGAAGCGAGGTCTGAGAGCCAGTTGAAGAACCAGCTACAGGTGAGTGTCTCTCTCCAGGTTCTCGGGTGTGTTTGTTCCCGAGTATCAGGTGAATAACATTTACACAGGTAGAGCTCACCCAGATATCGGAACAAACTACATTCTCACCAGTTCTTAGAAAAAATATGCGTTTTTTTTTGGGGGGGGGGGTAGATGTTTTCATAAAGTGTGTAGATCTGTGATAATGTAAGTAGGGTAGGCAAAAAGAGGAGCAGATGAAATGAAGCACGTGACCTAGTGTCAGCTCAAACACAATGCCTGGTTTGAAATCTAACTACGTTTTATTCCGTCCAGCATTCCCCCCTTGTTGTAGTGACAACAATATTTCATTTCTCAAAACTATTCCGCTGTGTCGTCATTAGCTCTTTGCGCAGGGAGAATGTCGTGTGACAGAAAAGTCTCCTCTCTTCGTAACATTTAAGCGTGGCCACTCTACAGGTCCTGAGCGACATGGTGGAGGAGTACATTGAAAGCATGAAAGCAATTGTGGAGAAGACAAAGAAAGAGTTTCTCCAACAGATTGGGGACCTTGGAGCGGGATCTGGCAGCGAGATACAGGTGAGTAGCTCTCTTCAAGTACAGCAGACTCCGACTTAAAAAAACATTCTGTGTATGGATCTAGTTTGCTAAAGAGAACCAGTTCTAAAAATAAAAATCAGCCCAAGAACCCGTAAACTTTTCTAAACATCATTCTTGATCAAACGTTTGCAATGAACTGATAACGCAGTGTCGTCTAGCATGAAAACAAAGGAAATGGGTAGAAAGAGATGTTGGTGGACTAGAGGCCGACTAAATGAACACACTACATTCACACCTAGACTAGAGGCCGACTAAATGAACACACTACATTCACACCTAGACTAGAGGCCGACTAAATGAACACACTACATTCACACCTAGACTAGCCGACTAAATGAACACACTACATTCACACCTAGACTAGAGGCCGACTAAATGAACACACTACATTCACACCTAGACTAG